GCTTGACTTCTCCCGCCTCTGTTTTCCCCAGTGGTGACTATATGTTTAGTCATTTTACATTCCTTTCAAAGTTCTGAAATTATGTTTGAAATTCCATTTAGGGAGCTTTAGCTCCTGGGGCCCAAGGCACATTCTTTTGAATAACGAGAAAGATCCTGAAGTGATCCCAAACCCTGGCTAGTGAATAACAGGAGGGTGACACAGAAAAGTAATGAGATTGTTTCCAGGCAATTCCTCACTGCCTCTGCCTCTGCCTCTGCCTCCAGGAGAAGCATGTCCATCACATGTCTAGCAGAGCCATCGCAGAGCAGCTGCGTGGCCTCCCAAGGCAATGCCTCTGAATAAGGTATTGCACATGTTTGCATTGCTGGTGGGAAACCCCCATCTTGTCACTTCTTAGTCATAGCACCACGTGCTGGTAAATTAAGAGAAAGCTTCTCATGACATCATTCTTGATCACATACACAAGAAAACCAAGTATAAAGAAATGCCATATCTCTTGCCCCGCTGGTATAGCTCAGTGGCTGAGCGTCAACCTATGAAACAGGAGGTCACAGTTTGATTCCCCACATGCCCAGGTTGCAGGCTTGATCTCCAGCGGGGGGCGTGAAGGAGGCAGCCGATCAATGATTCTCTCATCACTGATGTTTTTATCTCTCCCTCTCCCTTCCTCTCCGAAATAAAAAAAATATATACATATTTTTTAAAATGCCATGTCTCATGATCAGCTCTCTGTGATCAGAAGGACCAGAGATATGCACAGCATGAACTGGAGAAAAGAGATAAAAAATAGATGGCAGCCTTGGATGCTTTATTCCAATACTTACGTGGTTTACAAAAACAAAGTTTTGCACTTCCCATACAAGTATATGAGCTGAAGTCTTATTCAAAGTACATATACATTCCATTATAGCAAGTAATATGTAGTTCCAAGGAAGGACATGTGCAATACTTGTGTGATTAACATGAAGGCTTTTCAGAGAGCTCTTGAGGGTCAAGGTTGGGATCTAGTCATTGTTCTATATGCCCCTATATTACGTTTACTTTCTTTTAAAAATTACAATTCCTACAGAACCATTTGCCCAGGATTCATCAGGTGCTATCTCTTCAAAATGAGCATCAAGAGTTGCTATCACCTGAAACGACTGTGACTGTTTAAATTTTGATGATAAACAGCATGAATATACCAATATTTAATGTACAAAAATAGTTCTTTAATGAGATCATGAGTCTGTCATGAGCAATGCAACCATTAGTCAAAAACAACTTCTACTTAATTGGCCAAAAGATAAACAAGAGGGGTAATCAGCACCAGGCCAGGGTATATAAAGGACCCCGCAGGGGAGGAAGACATTCACACCTGAGAACACCCAACTCCTCTCACCAATCCAACCCAACCCAGCCCAGCCCCAGACACCACCATGACCGGCTCCTGCTGTGGCTCCACCTGCTCCAGCTGTGGGGGAGGCTGCTGCCAGCCCTGCTGCTGCCAGCCCTGCTGCTGCCGAGACCCCTGCTGCTGCCGCCCCTGCTGCTGCCAGACCACCGTGTGCCGCCCCGTCACCTGTTTGACCCGCTGCACACGCCCCATCTGCGAGCCCTGCCGCCGCCCCATCTGCTGTGACCCCTGTGGCCTGCAGGAGGGCTGCTGCCGCCCCATCGCCTGCTGCCCCACATCCTGCACGGCCATTGTCTGCCGCCCCTGCTGCTGGGCCTCCACCTGCTGCCAGCCCATCTGTGTGCAGGCGCCCTGCTGCCGGCCCCCCTGCTGCCAGCCTGCCCCCTGCCGCACCACCTGCAGGACCTGCCCCTCCTGCTGCTGCTGAGCTGCCTAAAGCAAGCAATCAACCTTCCCTACCCAACAAAACTCCTGCCCTGAGCCATTAAGACCTCAAGTCAGCCAGAAGTTGCATGGAGATCCAAACTCGTCTATTAAGATTTGGGCTGTTCTCAAGTCTTTGTAATAGTAGCAACTTCTTTCTTTCCATCCTAGATCTCAGGTCTTTCTGGCATGTTTGGTTTCTAATAAACTTCTCTTCTTTGGCCTAGCAATCACGGCTTTGGTTTTACTTATTCATTCTAATTTTGATCATTAAATTTTAATAAATGTGCTGATTGACTACCATCTGCAAGTTACACACGGTATGGTATATAATAGAAAGTAAAATTGGCTTTAAAATGTTCCCCTCTTCAAGAAACTTCCAGAAAGATGAATCAAATTAATAATCACTCAACTAAAAATTAGAATATGAAAAAAAAAAACAAAGTACAACACCCTGTTTGGTATCAACAAGAAGTCACTATTGGAGAACAAGAAAGACTGGAAGGAGAACCCAGCATTTTATAAGCGTTAAGATTTTGGGGTACAGTTCTAAGGGAAGATGGCATTCTCTACTATGGAAACAGTATGCACAAAGTATAGACAGGCTGTTCACAGGAGAGTTGCCTGGGAGCACTGGATATACTTAGACTAACAGTGGAAGGTAAATTTGGATAATTTGTGTGCTTTGAATATTAACCAAATGAGTATACCCTTAGGGCAGTAAGCACTAAGGAGCTGTTGAAAGCCTTGAGGCAGGGGAATGGCACGACAGGAGTTGGACGTTGGGGCAGTTCCTATGGTCACTGCTTATAAAAACAGAAGACCACAGGCTATGCATATGATGACTATACAGAAACAAATTGAGAGCTGAACTAAGATGATGGCAACAGAATAAAGAAGACACAAAGAGGATGGCAGACCTAGAAACTCTTAGCTAGTCTCAATGTGGGAAATAAGAAACAATTAGGAAGCAAATGTGATTTATTACAGTTCTAGAGGGAACTCTTTTGATCAGCAGACACCTGAAAGAATGTTAACATATTCATGCTTATTTACTGTGTGTTTAAAATCACTACTCTACCGTGTATTCTGCCTTCCAGTAATATTCACATTCTTGAGCTTTTGTAAAATATTTTTAAAACTGAAGACAACGAATTTTACTAACTCTAATTCTGGACAGCAGCAGAAAATAAAATGAACAGATTTAGAAGTGAAAGATAAGCGTTTTATACCCAGCTCTTCTGGCTATGTACTGCCTATGTGAATGTGGCTATGTACTGGCTATGTGAATGTAGCAAGTCAATAACCTCTCCAAAATGCAGCCATTCCTAGACTCAATGGTATTTTAACATCAACTGGTGTTCAGAGGGAATTAAAAGCAGTTCATAACATTAGCACCAATGTCCCAATTCAGAACTTTGAGATTAAATGGGTCTCTATTTGACTCTTTTCCTTGATTAATCCTTCCTATCAATACTATACTGATTTGTGCACTAGAGAAAAATGTGAGGCAAGCAGATTAGGTTTTGCTTTCTACATAACCTTTTAGTACCTCATACATAATAGGATTTAATAAACATGTGCTATTTATAAAAAGAATGATGTCAGTTTCTATACCTATAAAATTAAATGGTTGAACATGATTTATTAAGGTTTTGGTCTCTAATATGTAATGATTCCATTTAACCATTTTCAACTTCATACCTACAGTCATGGTTATCATGACATGAACATCTTTATTGACACTGGCATGAATCACTTTTTAATTCTATCCTTGTACTAACCAACACCTCTACGCCATAAAAGCTAACTATGTACTTCTATTCATGATTGGAAGGAAGGAATAAGCCTGCTATAAGTAGCAACACTATGTTCTTTTGGCCATAACTTTTTTTCATTTCTCCCCCTGTAACCATAAACATCATTTTTTTTTCTTTTAGCAACTACCAGGAATTGTTTCCATTTTACTTTGCACATATTAAACAACATTTGATCATCCATTTCCTGTCCTGCCTTATAAGCACTGTGATCCAGAAAAAGTATTTCCAAGTTCCTGCTATTTCTTTTATTGGTTCGCCCTTATAAATTAAATTGTTTTGCTCTTTGGTCTGATATTCTTCCATAAGACACAAGGTGTAGCTAAATAAAATGACATAAACTGACATGAATCCTACCTCTGAGAAATCAATACTATCCAGATAAACTGTATAGCAATGATTTTAATGTTTCATAGAAACATAAATTACACTTAAAAATTTTTGTGATTTTTTTCCTAGATATGAATTTTAGCCCTTATTTTAAATTTTTGATAACAAAACATCCATAGTAAATTGGAATGGAACAGCTTTTGTTCCATATATCCTCCTGAGTGATAAATGTTTCCTCAAGGCTGAAGTTCAGGAGAGAGCATAGAAATTGGAAAGATCCAATTTCTAGAAAGATCTATGAATTTCTATGAAGTGGAGTTTATCAGAGTTTCTATGTGGGTGATTGTAGAGACTGATATCTTATTAATCTAAACAAATATAAAGACAGCCTTACATAGTCCGGCCAGCATGGCTCAGTGGCTGTGCATCGACCTATGAATCAGGAGGTCACAGTTCGATTCCCAGTCAGGACACATGCCTGGGATTGCAGGCTCAATCCCCACTGTGGGAATGCAGGAGGCAGTCGATCAATGATTCTGTCTCATCACTGATGTTTCTATCTCTCTCTCCCTCTCCTTTCCTCTCTGAAATTAATTAAAAATATATATTTAGGGGGGGGAAGATAGCCTTACATAAAGGCAATGGTTAACAATAACAGTCAACGGCTAAACTTTTTTTTCCCTGAAGACTTGAGTTTTGGTGAATGAGAGTCACTTTGTCAAGTAATAATTACAGCATTGTTTGGAAACAAAACAAAAAAAAACAACTCTACCAAGGTCCACTGGACACATTTGGTGAGTACTACCAGCTGAGCAATAAGGAAAAACCAATTTGGACATATATTTAAAATAACTCAGTATTTGAATAATCAGAGGGCCCTGGGGAAGGAAGCTTGTTTAAAGAGTAACAAGATAAAAATGCTATCCATGACACAGAACTGGCCAAAGCCTATAAAAGGCCCCAGTGGAACAAGCAGCCTTAACTCAGAAACTCCTCCGAACAACCCACCTCTCAACCCAACTCCTGACACCATGGCCTGCTGTCAAACTAGCTTCTGTGGATTTCCCAGCTGCTCCTGTGGGACCTGTGGCCCCAGCTGCTGCCAGCCGACCTGCTGCCAGACCAGCTGCTGCCAGCCAACCTGCTGCCAGACCAGCTGTTGCCAGCCAACCTGCTGCCAGACCAGCTGCTGTGGGACCAGCTGTGGCACTGGCTGTGGCCAGGATTGTGGCTGTGGAGGTGTGAGCTGCCGCACCAGGTGGTGCCGCCCTGACTGCCGCGTGGAGGACACCTGCCTGCCCCCCTGCTGTGTGGTGAGCTGCACGCCCCCAACCTGCTGCCAGCTGCACCATGCCCAGGCCGCCTGCTGCCGCCCATCCTACTGTGGACAGTCCTGCTGCCGCCCAGCCTGCTGCTGCTACTGCTGTGAGCCCACCTGTTGAAAAACCTCCTTCTGATGGGAATCCTGAGAAAATGGCACATCCAAACTAACCAATGTTAGAGTCTCAACAAACTTCTGAACTCTAAATACTCATAACCCAGCTTGCAACCTCTTGTCACGAAGCTGCGTAATTTCCCTAAGATGTAAAGTAATGTATAACAGAAGACCAAAGTATTTCATAGACCTGGATATCAACCGAAGTCCTACCATCTGAAAAGAGGGCACGATAGATTACTATCAGTATCTCCTGAAATATTTCAGTAGGTCATTGGGTTTGGAATTTAATAAAAATGTTCATTCTTCAGTGATGAAGTCATTGTTGAAGAGTTCTTTTCTTTTAAACTTGTTATTGATACTGGGATTTTCCAATATCTCAATAAATGTGGCATAGCACTGTGGGTTTTCATTACTACGCCTTTAATAATGGTCTTTTAAAAGGTGGTTTTTCTTTGTTTTGCCATTAAGTGGTCCAATATTCTGCAGCCAAAATACATGATTAAAAGAATTCACCTCAATGTTTTAAAAAGTCAGAGATAGAATTCTCCACTAGCACAACATTACAAGAATTACACAGCTTGTTGAGCCTACAGCTCTTTGTGTGAAGAATAAGGTTCTCCTTTCTTTCTTTTTTTAAAAATATATTTTATTGATTTTTTACAGAGAGGAAGGGAGAGGGATAGAGAGTTAGAAACATCAATGAGAGAGAAACATCGACCAGCCGCCCCCTGCACACTCCCCACTGGGGATGTGCCTGTAACCAAGGTACATGCCCTTGACCGGAATCGAACCTGGGACCCTTGAGTCTGCAGGCCGATGCTCTATCCACTGAGCCAAACCGGCTAGGGCAGGTTCTCCTTTCTCTAAGTGAACATAACACCCCATCAGGGCACAACCTACACATGCATATACAACACCTCTATTCCCTCCTCTATCACTCTCCTGTCTCCCATCACGTTGGGATGATTTAGACTAGATGCAGCTTTTACTTACAATGGCTTCAACTCAGAAACACCAAAATGAGCCAGGTTGGAACTCAGGAGAGAAGAGAAAAATCTAGTTACATGATTTAGGACAAAAAGTTGAGGGTGTTCATTTGTTTGGTGGGCCCGAATAAAACAAAAAAGGCAGAAGGGCAAATTTGCTCTCTTGCTCGAGTTGGGGCATCTGTCTTCTTCTGCCCTCAGATCAGTGCTCCTAGTGGGACTTCTCAACCTCCATAGTTGTATGAGCCAATCCCGCATAATAAATACATATATTTTCACTAATATGTACAGGGGTGGGCAAAGGTAGGTTTACAGTTGTTCATATGGAAAAAGACATTCCAGTTATGATTACTATAGTAGTTTTATTAACTCAAAAAAATGTCACTCACCACCTGCTTTTGCCCACTCCTGAATTTATATATCTTGTTGGTTCTCTTTCCCTGGAGAATCCTGACTAAAACATCTATTCTTAGTAATTCTCTAAGGGCAACTAAAAATCAGAAACATGAAAACTGAGTTAAATTTTGCAGTGACAAAGATGTTGAAAGCAATGCCATGGTAGAGAAGCACAGAAATGTAAATATAATATATAATGCTACTCTGTCGCCAGTGCCCTTGTCAATATGATTTTTAACTCCTCAAACATCTGAAATGTGTGCAAGGGGAGATAAATCATTTTAGTATCAAAGATTCTGCTAAATTTAGGTATGAATTAGCTCCTGAGATTGTAGTAAGGAGAAATCCACATATTTAAAACATCCAACGTGGAAATATTAGCTAATCAAAGAATCAGTGATACAAATTCGCTAAAGGAGAAGAAGCAAAAATATTCACAAAGAACCATAACTTTCAATTCACATTTGATGTGGAATTTCAAAATGTCTTAATTCACCTGGGAAGAGTTATGATCTGAACTCAAAGCTATCATTTCTAGAGAAGCAGAACTAACACTAGGCATTCTGATTCAAACCCCCTATGTGGCACTGGATTTGTCTCTAACAACTACAGTAAACTGCATACTCTAGGTCTAATACACCACAGTACGCCACATACTCCAGTTTTAATATATTAAGAGTGTGATTTTTATGCAGTTAAGAGCATTTATTCTCAGCACAGAAAAAACCTGTAACTATGTGTGGTGATGGATCTTAACTTACTGTGGTGATCATTTCACAATATATACATACTAGAGGCCCGGTACACGAATTCATGCACGGAAGGGGTCTGGCCAGCCCACCCCAATCAGGCTGATCAGGCCTGGCTGGCCAGGGGGAGGGACCATGGGTGGTTGGCCGGACAGCCCCGCCCCCTGGTCAAACTCCCGGTTGAACTCCCGCTCAAGGGGACAATTTGCATATTAGCATTTTATTACATAGGATATCAAATCATTATGTTGTACACTTAAAACTAATACAATATTATATGTCAATCATATCTCAATTTTAAGAAAAGAACATTTAAATCTATAGAAGAGACTAAAATCAAAGATTGGATGAAGTCACAAGTCAAGTAGTCACAAGTCACGTTAACTCTTTCAGCACTTAAGATTTTCTTGAAGTATACCTATTATATAGTTTTTAAAAATAAAATCTCCTGCCCAGATGGCGTGGTTCAGTGGTTGTGCATTGACCTATGACCCAGGACGTCACAGTTTGATTCCTGGTCAGGGCATATGCCCGGATTGTGGGCTTGATCCCCTGTAGAGGGTGTGCAGGGGGCTGCTGATCAATGATTCTCTCTCATCACTGATATTTCTATCTCTCCCTCCATCCCCCTTCCTTTCTGAAATCAACAAAAAAAATTTAAATTAAATAAAATCTCCAGAGAAATCTCTAATCGCAGAGTTATTACTCATGCTAAACTGTCTTTCCTCCCTCTACTCTCCAAAAGCCTGTAAGAAATAGGGCAAATTTCCATTGGTTTTCCCTAGAACACCTGCTTACATGGAAAAGACTGGAATGATTGAAAGTTTAGTCTGGAGTTAGATGGCATGGTTCAAATTTCAGATTCACCATTTGTTAGTGTGAACTTGGGTGAATGACTTAAATCTGTTTGTGGCTCACTGTCCTCGTAGAAATGGTATAAAAGCAATGATACCTACCCTGTAGGGTTGCTGTGAAAATTAAATGAATTGATGCAAGCAAAGTACTCAGAACTGTTTGGACACATAAGTGTTTCAAAAATGTTTTCAGTACCAACTCATCCATATTTCCCAGCCCCCGATGAAAGCATCCCGTTCTGGCCGCTGAATCGCTCTGCTGCTCTGGCAAAGTGAAGAAAAGAGAGGGTAGGGAAGGGGCAGCTGTCGACATTGGAGGCCACGTGGCTGAGCATCAAACTGTCATGTGAGACCCAAGAGCTCAATTATTAGGGTCAACATTGAGTAATATTGACACTCCTTAAAGGTGAGGCATCAACCAATTATTCTTTGGGCAATGAGCAGATTGTAACGAATATGGGAAATTAGGGGTTATGTACTCAGTGAACGCTAATGACTACTGGGCCACGGTAAAGAATCCTAATTGAAGACCAAATAAAATAAACCTTTAAAGGCTTTCGGAAGGTTGCACAAATAACTCAGGGACAGGGCAATTATCATTCAGAAACAAGTTATTTAAACACAAACAAGGAAGAGACTTTGGGAATTATGTAAATAATAGCTGGCCAAGGCTTATATAAGGCCCAATGTAGAAGCTATCACCAAACCTAAAAAGTTTCTCCAAGCAACCCACCTCTCAATCCAACTCCTGACACCATGGCCTGCTGTCAAACTAGCTTCTGTGGATTTCCCAGCTGCTCCTGTGGGACCTGTGGCCTCAGCTGCTGCCAGCCAACTTGCTGCCAGACCAGCTGTTGCCAGCCAAGCTGCTGCCAGACCAGCTGTTGCCAGCCAACCTGCTGCCAGACCAGCTGCTGTGGGACCGGCTGTGGCACTGGCTGTGGCCAGGATTGTGGCTGTGGAGGTGTGAGCTGCCGCACCAGGTGGTGCCGCCCTGACTGCCGCGTGGAGGACACCTGCCTGCCCCCCTGCTGTGTGGTGAGCTGCACGCCCCCAACCTGCTGCCAGCTGCACCATGCCCAGGCCGCCTGCTGCCGCCCATCTTACTGTGGACAGTCCTGCTGCCGCCCAGCCTGCTGCTGCTACTGCTGTGAGCCCACCTGCTAAAAGCCAAGTTAATGATTTTCAACCTGAGGTTTCAACTTCCAACTCAATCCATGAACTAATTATTTCTTCAACCATTCCTGGACCACTAACAAGTTCTGGAACTTTTATTTGACTTTTGTTGTGGGAGTTAGCAAATACTTGAGCCTCGCAGACCTGATCTCCCCACTGAGGCTGCCAAAATACAAATTTGACTCAAGAAATGGGAAAACCAATTTGCATTGGGCTTGACCTTCAGCAAGTATTCGATCCCACACTCCAGGACTCAGTGCTGCTGAAGCCTGGGAAGAACTATCTATACTTCTCAGACGCGTTCACCTCCTCTACTCTACCATCCTTCAAACTGCACTTCCCATAAAAGAGGAATACTATACTAAGGCCTAATAAATTATATTTATTTGGTGCAGCAGACATATCTCTTTTTCTTCATTGAGTGTATTCATGATGTACTGGTATATTTCATAGAAAGTTATGCAAAATATTTTCATCTGGTTTTGCTACCCCACACTGCTCTTCTTATACAATGTTAGAAAAATTTTTGATGAGATCCAATGGAGGTTAATTCCCATAAAAACATCCAGAAAAGGCAGTTCTAGGGCCTCAGAAATGGCACAGCTCTATGACCAAGTCCTGACCTCACACAGTGCTTTCACAACCACAAAGCTACAGAAGCCAGGACCTCTGAATCTAGTGCCAGAATATGAGTCATTTTTTTCACATCTGTTAAAGGAATGCTCTTTCAGGCAATCTTCAAACACTGGTAATGTATGTTAGTAAATCCCACTCTTCCATTTACATGTGGTCTTGCAGAATAAAGCAAGAGAACTACAAGTTGGGGAAATATGCTTCTAACTA